ATAGTATTAAGGTTTAATATAGTATAAAAATCTAAATAATTGAAAATATAATTAGATTATTAACATCCATGTTTTACTTGAACACAAAATCACTTTAAATAAAATTATAGGCCTAATTTACAGTAAAAAGGGTTGATCTCATTTGGAAAAAAAAGTTAACAACGCTTCGAGACACTTCTTAAATACAGCTAGAATAAAAATCTAAATAATTAAAAATATGGTATTTTTTAGCCCCCAGCACAAGCTTTGCTTATAGGGGGTACTGATATATTTAAATCATATATTTTTTGTAATCATTGTATATATAATTCTATTGTTTCAATAAAGATTAATATCATAAAAAAAAAGTCATACATAAGTATTGTATAATATGTTTAGCAGGTACTGACTTATTTTTATTATAATCATAAAATGTTTCAGTACACGTCATGATGCTATTATAAGTAATAATTTTTTAAGAATGGATTCAATTATACTATATACATCATGTCATCATGCATTTTTTACATTGATAGTTACAGTTAAGTAAATGATAGTTATATATAGTATGAGTGTTATAAGTATATTCTTCTATGGGTCTTCTGATGATGACTCTTCACTATCCGTTAGGAGAATGTTCTGAGGGAGTTGAGGTCGTGACTTACTTAAAGTCATAGTTTGAAATGTTAAAATAAATATATTTATTTTTTATTTTCATTTAAGCCTCAACAACTAAGGTTAATGGCTAACATTAATATACAATAAATGTATTGTTAAAGGAAAACATGGAGTTTAGCATGCTTAGCAAATAATCCTATATATTCCGGTATTCAATTATTTGGCAGATTTGTACTTAGTTGTAAAATTTGAATTAAAATGCATTCCATACTCAGCGAGCATACAAAAATGTAGTTTTGAAGGAAGAGTCGAAAGTCTTGGATGAACTCAATTATGTTGCGCTGATGGTTAATTGTGTACGTCCATGGACATATAACGGGATTATATGGATGAGGTCGTAACCGTGTTGGTTTACCGACAGTATTAATATAACTCATTAATGACATAATCATAAACTATTACAATTAGAATAGGTATAAAGTATTTATTTATTATTATTTTTTTTTTTAAACGTAATACACAATCTATATCGACTAGACACAATAAGCATTTACGATGAGAGTAACAAAGATTGACATGGAAATTTGATGAAAGAAGCCACCCATCGATGGCACTTTCTATGGATTTTATTTTATTTTTTTATTTTTATTTTATTTTATTTTTTATTTTTTAAGCTTATCTTAAGAGGTCACGACACCACTTACGCTTCAGGCGTCTAGGGGGATTACCAAGTATGGAAGGAGTAAGGTATAAAGTATACAATGGATATTTTAAGTACCTATGAATTATATTTTTAAATTACATTAATATAGTTAAAATTGTTATTCTTGGTTGTTAAATATGTAATTTCATCCAAATTTGAATTTGAAATAATAACTATAAAAAAAAATGGAGTATACCTACCTATCTACGTATAGTTTTTAGATCTTTCAAATCTTTATGAATTTCTAACTCAAAATAAATTACAAATTTTCGTGATTTTTACGTATTTTGTCGAAATTCGAACTTTCAATGCTTTTTGWAAAAAATCGAGACTATGTATTTTTAATATATTTTAACTACTGCTATAAAAATATATAAGGAGCCTTGCATTAAATTTTGAAGCTTTTTACCCAACAAGTAAAATTATATCATTTATAAAAAAAAATATAATAAAAATATTGAAAATTTAAAATGTCTATAAATAACTTAAATAGATTGTGTAAAATATGCTATCAAGTTTAGAAATCACCAGTATAAACATTCAGTGAAAATGTCAAGGTCTACAGTAATTTTTTTTTAGATATATACCAATATGTATCTAAAATCGATTTTCTCAAAAACGTATTTTACGTAAAAATTCCCGTTTTTCTTTAATTTATTTTTGTTTTTACGGTGCTTTTGAAAAGTTCTGAAGTTGAAAATCGAAGCATTACTTCGACATCTTATCATGTACACAGACACAAAAAAAAAAATCATTGTAAAATCAATTCATTCATCGCTCCGCTCTGAATTTAAATTTGAACCCTACCTAATGTAAAATATAAATTGGGCCATATGTAATATATTACATAGTCAGTGTTAGTCACCGGTGTGCCSCTTGCAGGCTACGTGGGCTCAGCCACACAAGACAAATGTCTATTTTGTCCGTGCATAATGTGGCCCTAGAGACAACAAAATATACCRGTGTAGCCTATTTTTAAGTTTTTATTTAAACGTCAAATCGCTGCAAGAAAATAATCTATAAACAATCATAATTAATTAAAAAATCAAATTTTATGTTGCCTGGAAAAAATCTCATATTCGTAAAAGTAGGTAATTGAGGTTTTTGTAACCCTGAATAYAGAAAAAATTAAGCTTTAATTTCATAAATACTCCCGTGTGCGTTATCTTTTTTCTTTCGATTATTCAATTATAATAAAACGCATAATCTGAATTCTGAATTCTTATCATGCATAAACGTCTATAATAATAGGTAGGTATTATCTTATGCAACATTTGATGAAAATTTGAAAACCTAAAATTCCTTCAGGTATTTGACTTTAAAAATTAAAATAAATTATCAAGCATATATTATGATAGTTTTAAAATTTATCTAAATCTTACATATTATTATTTGCATTAAACTTTAATAATACACTCAAACCTGGTTAGAATGTATTAATTTACAACGAATGATTTTTCTTGGAAGTACCTATATCTTGCTACAAATCTACAATAATATGTAATATAATTATTTTTATTTTTAAGAAGCTCCTGATTTGTTAAATTTTTCTACTTGTGACATAATATCATGATCATATTAATATATATTCTGCAGTCATATTAAGTAAGTTGGGTTTTACTSTCCAAAAGAACATATACATAGGTATATATTATATAATATTATAGCTTAGTATAATATAAACGTATTATATAGGTACGTTATGTGATATAAGAAATAAGGATAATAATTTCAATTTTAATTCATAACAAAAGCCTCAAATATGCTGTAATTAAATCTTATCAAGAGGTCAGTGATAATTATTGATGTTTTAATATTATTTAATTATTATAATATGAGTAATATGACTAAACCATACTATTATTGTCAGTAAGAAACGGAATTAAATACAATTGTATTTCTTTATGTATTATACAGTTTCTGATCGATGATGTTTTTAGAATGTATACGTGATAAAGTGTTTATTATAAGTATAACTATACCTAGGTACGYGTAAGTATATTAATTCATACACGTTTTAAAATAGTTGCATAACTCGTCGATACAATAATTTTTATTGTATWTTTGAYATYGAATATCTACTAAAAATGAATTAATAMACTTAAAAGATGTTTAGAAAACAATGATGATTTAATTAATAACTATATAAGTAGATATKGCTATAACCAACACTGTAGTATTTTTATTTTTAACATTGTGAGTACCTAACTTCAATAATGGTTTGTTGTATTTCGTTATTTGCAGTTATCATTCACATTCATCTGGAATTCTGGACATAAAAACTTAATAAGGCGCTCAAAAATTTCAATTGATCCAAAAATGTTACCAATATGTATTCGAGTAAATAAACGCACGCTGCGAATGAAATTACATTATTTTCTTTATTTAGGCGGTAAGTAACAACAATAATTTGCATTATCATAATTTGACTTTCTAAATTTTAAAACTTACATGTAATATTTCCAACTGAACATTTACGTAGGTATAATATCTTTTAATTAGTCTTATTGTAAATGATGTTTTTTACGTAGGTATACTGATACTTATATAGAAAAGTGTTATTTTAATACGTATTTGAAGTAAAAAGTATATTTAGGTATTTTCATGTTTCAAAAACTTTCAACTTTTTTATAAGATATATTTTGTTTGCTTTATTAATAAACTGAAACGATTTTCATGTTTTATGTCAATTTTATAGAGCATTTTAGGTATCTATATTGTATCGTTAAATTTTGATGTAATTTTCAAATTATTGTCAACTTTTTTATTTGTCAAAGTATTATAATTTTCAGTTGATTACAATTCACAGTATTAAAATAGAAAATATATGACTAACAAATAAARTATTTTAATTTAAACACTGAGACTTTGGAAAAGTTCTCAAAATTCTTCATTCAAATAATTTTTTTCAAAAGTACATTTAAATTTCGTAGATATTTAAGTAGGTTAGTATAAGACTACAAGACTGATTTTATAATGAACTCTTACATGTATCATATTTATTATTTGTACTTAAGTAGGCATGGCTTGATAGTTATCTAACACAAGTGATTCTTTTTATAGTAATAAAAAAAAAAATAATAAGAGTCATCCATGTTAAATTGTGTGTTTGCATAATGTATACGTTCACGAGACGCATAATCATATAATATGATCATAAAATTATTTTTCTTAGATCTTTTGTATCTAACTCAATTATTACGCTATCCGTACACATTCATTACCTATTTTTTAAGACTTGATATTATTGTTTATTCCTACAGGTGTTGCATCTGTTCAAGGATTTGCACCTACAATAGCAAAACAACTGGGTTATTCACCGATGGTAGTCGGTTCTGTTTTCACATATTTGTCCATGTTATCGTTTTTTGTGAAACCTATCATAGGAATTATCGTTGATAAATTTCGCGTGAAAAGAATTATGTTTCTCGCATTTGTTTTACTATGTGGTCTTACAGCGTTTTCTTTAAAATTTATCCAGAAAATACCCACAGAAGCTGTTGCAAATTTAAATTGTGACACAACAACAACATTAAACGTTTGTTCATACGATAACAATCAGTTATCACGATGTGATGATAGTCTATTGAAGCTTATATTAAATAGTGCAGAACCCATCGAATGTCAAGTACGTTATWMATTGATAAAATGTAATTATTATAAATTTATACCTATCAGTGTCGAGGGGATTGCAAACGGYCAACCAAAATGTATCGATTGTTTGTCAATCATAGTGGTGGACCTACGTTCTATATAGTAATGCGATTATAATTATACCTATTTCTCTTACACTCAATAGTCACTCGCACATTGTCTAATGATCACTTATTACACACATATTATTTGTACAAGAACTACATAATATGTGTGGTTTTAAAAATTTAAATAATTTTTTTACTATAATTTTTAATTAAAAAAACTGTTAACTTTCAATCTTCTTAATAGGATGTTATCATTGTGCCCACATGTGTTAGCCCTATCTTATACGCATAATATATAAAAATGTACTGGTCAAGCTGCGTTAAGCTTTTTTAAATATTAATCTTTTAAAAACTCATAGTTCAATTGAAAATAAAAATAAAAATAACGATAAAACACAGATAATGTTCTCACATTTACATTTGACAATAGGTCAATTTACTCTAATATTTAAGCTAACAACATAACGTCATTAGAAGTGCTAGACGTACATTTTGGTTTATTCTATGTTAGTAAGACGGAGAAAACACATTCGGATACGACAATCTCATATTATCCCTACTTCATTTTGTTTTWATAAAATTATTTTGTAGAATAGTTTTACATAAAAAAAAAGTGGGAAAGTGGATGTCGCTCTGCTGTACAGTAGGTTACAAGTGGGTTACTGTAATTTGAATCCAATGATACTATATCATTGTATACGAAAAACGATTCTGAGCGGAAACGATTTATCTGTCTAGGATATATTATAGATTATTAAAATTTTTCAAACTTTAGATTTAAAAAGAAACATTTTTATGTTGTCAAAATTCAAACTTTTAATGCTTATAAAAAAAAAATTGTGACTATG